AAATTCTATGTAATTATAAATGTATATAGTTTCAAGAATCTTAATAAAGTACTAGTGTAACTGCTTAAGGTTAAAAATAAAAATGATTTTTTTTAATAATAAAAAAAATACATTGATGTTTTATTATAATTCTGATTTTTACTCTAATTCTAATAAACTTTAAATTCTATACTTATTATATTTTTAAATTTATACAGATTTTTTTGAGCATCAATTAATCTTTATGTTTGTTTAGGTATAGTAAAAAACAATATAAGCCTTTAAGTATATGCTATAAAAAGTTTAATATCCAACAATTCCTTTCTGATAGTGCATTGCAGAGTATAGGCTGTGCACAGAATTTAAATAATATTTGGCATAAATTTTATAACTTTAAATTATGTTGCTTTCATTGTTCATTGTGATAGTAAAAACTTTATTTGTTAAATTTTAATTACTAATTATAAAATTTAATGCTTTTGCAATTGCTTTACCAGTATGCAGATATGACAAATACATTATTGTAAGAACAATTTCAATTAATTGAAAATTATTGTCAATAAATAAACAGATAACTCCCAAATACCTAATACAATTTTGTTCTGTTTACAAATCACAAGTTAAAGAACAAGTTACAATATTATTATTAAGTATTTTTTTAAGATTTCCTTAGAACTTAAAAAACTATCTGTAAGTAATTTTCAGCAGGTTCATTTACAAGGCAACTGGTAATTAGGATTGAATTCTGCCAAAAACTCAACAAAACTAATACCTTTACATATATTAATAGACAATTGATCTTTAACTAGCATACTAATAAACTTTTGATCTTTTTTTTCTTTTTGCTTAGGATTATTTGCAGCTATTCTTTGAAATGTCTCATCAATATTTATTTGTTTAGATTGCTGCTACTAAAGATTTTGTTTGTAAGATTCTTTTATAATTCTATATCATAATACCAAATAGTCAATAAAGTTATCTGTTAAACTGTCTATTATTCCTATTAAATAGCCACAAAGTTGAAGTCCATTAGTTCTATTAACTTTAAACAAACATCTAACTATCTGTTTATATAATTGTACAGGTTTGGAGGTGTGGTGACCTAGTGAAGTGGTCAGGTTGTCAACCCCCAAGTGGCAGGTCCAGAGTTTAAATCCCAGTGTCGACAGAAAATTTGAAAATCCTCCCTGTGTTATGGTTAACTGTCTCTCGCAATTGGTTGGGATAAGATACCTGTAACC